AAAAAAAAAGAAATATATGCTTCCAATATACAATTATGCTATATCACTTTTTGAGTATTTATAGGCAATGGCAATTAGAAATCACTGCTGATTTCTGGGGCTTGTAATAAGATCCTCGGCAGCATATTAATTTAAGAGAAAGGGAAAGGCGGTCAGCAAGAGGCAAGACCAAGACCAGTAGCTTCCTTACACTACTCTTCCGGACCTGCCTGATAGTGAGGACTGATTTGTTTTGTAAATGGAAAAAAAAAACAAACACCATGTTTTTCACTTAAAAATCCTGTACTCACTATTTAACCACTTTGCCTTAATACTGCTCTTATTAAAAAATTCTCACCATGTTGTTAACATATTTCTCCTGATACTGCCAATGGTAAATAAGAAAGCCTTCACCTGGCCATCATAAAAATAGCAGATTCTACCCCAAGAATGGGTCCATTCTGTTTTAACACCATCTACACCATCCCCAAATCCTTTTTTACCTAACTCTTTACTCCTTTTATCAAGTGAGATACAACACTGGCTTGGATTTTATAAATACTTCCTCATAAAGAGAGCTAAATTAATCATTCACAGGGAGAATCAGCGTCATTCCAGATGTGAACCACACTTTTCAGTTCATCTGAAAACGGAAAGGCTAAAGCACATCTATGCTAGTGTTGGTGTCAAGGTGGAGCTGGTTGGTGTCATTCTCATCTAGTTTTTCACTCTCCTTCTTTTCTTTGTTTGTTTTTCTTCCAGTACCGGGAATTGAACTCAAGACCTTGTGCCTGCCACACTGAGTTAAATCCCCAGCCCCTCCACTCTCATTCTTAGCTCCAGTCCTTTCTGAGTCTGTGGGCTCTCACCTTATTCCATACCAAAATGAAAAACCATAAATCAGCTGCTGTCCAAATTCTCTCAACCATCCTGTGAGTCTTGTACTGAAATGAGTTCGAGGCCACGAACAAATGAATATCACATTTCAAACTGATTCTTGCAATTCCTATTTCCGATCTCTTATGAAAACAGAAATAACTTCTCTTGCTTTCCCTGAGCTGGAGAAAGTAAATCTCAGTGGAGGAATAATCAAGAAAGCAGAGACAGTTTTACTTACCACGTTTTCCTTACCACAATACGAACTGAAGTCGCTGGACACGATCGCAGCATACTGGACCAGCACCTTATTGATGGTCTGAGGAAGGAAACACGGGCAAGTTTACCCAGTGAGTGCAAGCTTTCCACATAGGCTGTCCCCGCTCAGGCTGAGTCAGGAGAAGGCTGCAGGAGCCACAAACACTGACCCAGTCTGCACCACTGCTGAACGGTGGTTAAACTCTGCATTTAGATGATTGTTTGCCACAGTTCTGAGTACTTTTGGAAGCTAGCCTACATGGGCCACTTCTGTTTTAACACAATCTGCACCATAAGGAAATCCTTTATTTTTCAGCTTCTCTTAGAAGATGTACTGGCCACCTGGAAGCTCCTCTGTGAGTGGGTCTTTACTGCCTGACCGTCTAGAGCTCCTCATCCTCTTTTCTGAAAAGACGCTTTATGCTTTGTATGATGTCTTATGATTTTTAGCTTTTAACTCTATCCCCACCCTACACTCACCATGACAAAATTTTTTGTGTTGGCTATTTTTTCCACTTTCTCCATTATTCTTAAATTCCTCATGCGTAAATGGGGATCAGAGTGTTTTTGTACATCCCACTTAGCAATGGCTATGTTCAATGATAAACTGCAGGCAGGACTATAAAAAAGTCATCTCTTAAAACCCACAACTGCAGCTTTTCCTGTATCACATTACCGTTATGGTTCTGGTAAAAAGTGCTTGCCCTGGAGGCTCACATTCTCAGAGGGGAGCTTTTGGAGGGTGATCAGATCACGGAGCACTGCCTCAGCAGTGGGCCAGCACACGGCATGTTCCTCACTTCCTGCACTGTGAGACTTGGTCTCCAGCTGTCCCTCTGCTTCCTGGCTCCGTGCTGAACAGCTTTCCTCCTCCAGACCCTTCTGTCAAACCACTTCTGCCTTGGAGCCGGCCGACCATGCTCTGAAACCTCTCCAACCGAGAGTCAAAACAAACCTTTCTTCCTTTAACTTCTGGGTGTGAGATAGAGATGGAAAGGTGGCAAATGGACTATCTGTGCACCGTAACATGTTTACCTCTTGTTTACTACATTATTTAATAACATGTCTGCTAAAAATATTGCTCGATGACTCCCCCTTTGCTGACTTTTTCATCCTAACTCTACATTTCCTTTCTTTCTCTGATAACTATTTCTGGCCTTTATGCTCTCTAAAAGCTTCCACTAATTTTTATGCAAAACAGAGAACAATTAATCAACTATGTTAAGTAAATTTTACTTCACTCATTTAATAATATTTCAATGAGTTTCCATCTGCTGCTGTTACACGTGGCTTGCAGTAGCACAAGCCGAATGTGCATGTGATTTCTTGGAAAAGATGAACCAACTACAACAGTAGAAATAAGTCATCTCTCTCATAGAAAAGCAAAGAGAAAAAAGCCTTTATTTCCTTGTCTGTATAACATATTTGTCTGAATCTTTTTAGTGTTTCAAGATCAACTGGAAAACACCTTCCAAAGTGTTAAAGTGAAGGAGAAATGTTTAATCTATGGGTCTGAATACACTAAATGTGACCATGGACTTGCTGTATGGACTTTTATGTAGCCCCAGGTGGTTCCGATGCACACCCAAGTTTGAGAGTCAGCATCCCCACAAGTGCCAGGCAGGGTGGAGTGACTGTCCCAGGGGCATAGGAAGCGATGGTGGGACTGCGTGAGTCCCACTTATAATTCATCTCTGGCTCCAGGTCCGAGTTTTTCAGCAACGTTACACCCACCCTGGCCCACGTGTTCCTCTAAATGAAGCAGCCCACCCTCTGGGAGCCACGAGGTCACAGGGTCATTTGTAACTTGGGCTCCACGCAGCCCTGTGTGTGGCACGTGGGCAGGGCTCTGGAAGATGAACAGCGAACCTGAGACCCTACTTTCCCATGCGAGGTCATTCAGACTCCGCAGACCTCACTGGCCACTGCAGCCTGGGACGTGGCTCACATCGAGTCCCAAAAAGAGACACAGTTTCCATGTGTTTTATACCAGGGTCACTGACCCGGGAAGGGCAAGGCGTTCGAGACCAATGGCCACAAAACTGCCAAAACCCCACGAAGTCAGCAAGCGTCGCAAAACCGCACGTTACGTCAATCGCACAGTTACTCTGCTTCTTACATAAAATACAGATTATAGAGTTGTGGACAAAGATGGGCTTGAATGATCCTTACTTATTTCTTTTTTTTTTTTGGTTTTTGTCCTGTACTGGGAACCAAAGTCACGACCTTGCGCTTGCCAGGCAGGCGCTTTGCCGCTGAGCTAAAACCCCAGCCCCTAATGCTTACTTATTTCTACCTTATGTATTTGTCTTACTTTCTATTTTATGTTATAAGACATTGGGAGAGTTAAAAGAGTGTTGATATAATTTCTTAAGTCGGTCTCCCATATTTTCTTTTCTTTCTTTCTTTTTTTGGCAGCACTGGGGTTTGGACCCAGGGACTTCACACTGAGCTACGTTCCTTGCCTTCTGTTTGTGCTTTTTAAATTTTGAGTTAGGGTTAGGGTTAGGGTTGAGTTTCGGTTAGGGTTAGGGTTGTGGTCTCATTAAATTGCTAAATTGCCTAGGCTGGGCTGGAACTTGCAGCCCTCCCATCTCAGCCCCCCAGAGTGCTGGGATTAGAGGTGTGTGCCACCACATCCAGTTTAGAGTTCCTTTTTCAATGAAAATTACTATTTCTATTTTCCCAGAAAATTTCTCTCATTGTTGTTCCATCATAATAATTGGGTATTACTAAACTCCCAAGTATTAAAAACGTCTTACTCCTCTGCCATTTTTATTGTGCTAACCAGACCACACAGTTCCGCAGTGACAGATAGGTGGATCCTCACTCTCCTCCCTTGCTTCAGTGAGGTGTGACTGCACATGCCTTCTGTCCAGTCCTGGTCACACTGCAGGGCTCCCAGCACGAGGGCCAGCAGCTGCGGGTCGGAGCTCAGCATCCCAACCCAGTGCACCTGTCACACAGGGGCTCCCCGAGTCCTCCCATGTGGACCCCTTTTCTCATCCCTTCCTGATGCTGTGCACAGCTACAATAGTGCATTTCTAAATGTATTAACTCAGAGCCTTTGAACGTTTGCTCCGTGACCCTGCTTCCCAGCACAGCACGCCACATTCTTTCTCCAACATGACATTTCTAGTGACCTCATTTCAGTCTTTTTTTGGCATTTACTCAGCATTCAGCTGCTCATGAAGAAAAGATTTAGGGAATAGTTAGACTAATTCTCTGGCAGATTTGGCCATGTTGTAAAACTGTACCTACTACCAAGAAAGTGCTGTTTAGGAATGACCCAAAGGAAGGACTCTTGGCTACTATCCCAAAAGGTAGGAAGTTACTTGTTTTAGTTACTTTTCTCCTTGCCGAGATAAAATACCTGACAACCAGCATTAAAGGAGGAAAGCTTTTAGCTCACAGGCTGTAGAAGTTTCAGTCCATAGCTGACTGGCTCCAAGGCAGAGTAACACGGCAGAGGGGCATCACAGAGGAGAAATAGTTCACAGCAGGGCAGGTAGGAAGCAGCCAGCAGCAAGCCTGCCTTCTTTCTGTCCATTTATATTTCATCTGAGCTACAAGTCTATTGATCAGCGCCTGCCACACTCAGACTGTGACTTCCGTTATCCACACCCTTAATCCCAGTATCATACCATTAATCCACATTCACACACCCTAATCCAGCCATCTTTGAAAAGCCCCACCTATGCCTGCATGAGCCTTTGGGGAACATTGACACAAGCCAGACATTTCCTTCAGTCTTCCTAAGTAACAGAGAGAAGGACTTGAAGTCCACACACCTGATGGAGAACAACCCTTCCAATGGTGTCCCTGCTGAAGCTGTCTGCCTAAAACCCCTCACGGATCCTCACTTTCTGCAGAGGTAGTCGAGCTGCTCTGCTTACTCTTCAGGGCTCTTTCTCAGGGGTCTGATTCCCCACTTCAGCCCGGGACCTTCCAGGGCCCTACACTCCCCACAGCAGGGGAACCACCCCATGGCTCACAGGATGGTGGAGAGTTCTCTGAGAGTCATCTGAAGGTGTCTGATGTTGTATGATCCACAGGTAGATCTCTAAGGTGTGAAACTGTTTATATTTAGTCACCTCAGCTGGAACCACCCTGTCATAGTTCATAGCCGTTTCTCCTGTGAGACACCTTTCCTCACCAACTAGAACAGGCTATGCTTTTCTGAGAGGCAGGGCCAGTGGGGGGCCAGACTGAGCCTTGTGCGTGGGATGGCCTGGGCCTTAGACTCTGTGATAATGAGCTCAGCACTCGTGCTCCCTAAGGGTGTGGTACCTGCCGTGGGCATATCACATTCCCTCCACAGGCCCGCCCTGAAGCCCTTGCCCCAGGGCCTGCAATGTCACTCTGGAGAAAGGAAGTCTGTAAAGGGGCAACTGAGCAGAGTGACAGTGGTCTGCTTTGGAGAAAAGGGGACCTGGACTCGCAGGCCCCGGCCGGGCACAGAGACCCTGTGTGTGGACACAGTGGAAGGCGGCCAGAAAACTGAGCCATGGACGCTGTGGTCATGGGCTTCTGCCCTTCAGGGCCTTGAGGGAACACTGCCCCTCAGCGTGCGGGATTCCACATGGCAGCCCCAGGAAACTAATACATCTTAGACAATGCATAATGTAAGCCGGGCGTGCTGGTGCACAACTGCAATCCCAACACTCTGGGAGGCTGAGGCAAGAGGAGTGGCATTTTAAACTGAGCCTACACAACTTAGCAACTCAGAGAGACCCTGCCTTCAAATCAAAGATAAGACAAGGCAGGGTGTAGCTCAGCGCAGAGGCCCTGGGCTCAGACCCGTGTTGAAAAAGAAAAGGTGCACATTTAAGCTGGGCTTCAGCTTTGCTTTGTTTTCTAATATTTCACACATGAATGTCAAGCATGCGGTCTGGCCTTCTACCTCTGCCGACACCCTGGGCCCGAACCACAGCCTGCGACTCTGTGGTGTCCTCACAGTTTGCCCTCAAGAGCTTTTGGAGGTCAGAGCTGATGCTCACTGGGGACCCTGGCTCACAGTATGGGCAGCAGGCACGTGGCCCTCACAGCCTTGTGGGAAGAATATCCAACCTGCCAGTGTCACCGCAAGGTCCGACTTACACTCATGACAGCAGAAATACAGAAACCAGTGAGAGATCCCTTTGATTACCATGTTTGTTGCACCACTAACCTGCCTACGGCATCCCAAAGGCTCAGAATTTTGTAAGGGGACCAGGAGATCACAGAGCTCTGCTCTTTGCCCAGTTACCCTCTCTCTCCCTCCTCCCCTTTCCTGGGGTGCGGCCAGCCTCTCCCCTGCCCCTCCAGCTGCTCCTCTTCTTCCCTTCACCCCAGGGCCACCAGCCCTACTCTTTGCAGCCTCAGCTTCCTGTCCCCAAAGCTCCTCCCACTGCTCGGGGACTCCCTTTGCACCTGGGCTGGATCCTGCTTTGTCACCTTCCACCTAGTTTACCGTAAGAGTTGATGGGTAGAGACTGCTCCTCTAATGCCTTGTACGTTCCCCAAAATCTCCTGGCCAAGCTGCAGGCACAGAGCAAGGGGCTTCCCATTTCAAGAAGCACAAAGGCCTAAGATAAACCTGGCTGTCAGAGTCAGTAACCACATTCACGAAAACCGACCACACTGCTGAGACCCACAGGACAGCTACTGGCTGATTTGGAATCAGAGCTCCGTTCTCACGATGCCCACATCTCTCATTCTGCTGCGGCATCTGCTAAGAAGTATTTGTCATCGTGTGTAAGTAATGGCACGGCTCACTCTTAGCTGCAAGGAGCCATCTCCAAGGTGGAAAGAACTTGGCCATCCACACTGACCTCTTCACTATTTTTTTTTTTTTTTTGGTTTTTCTCCGGTACCGGGAACCGAACTCACGACCTTGCGCTTACCAGGCAGGCGCTTTTGCCGCTGAGCTAAATCCCCAGCCCCGACCTCTTCACTATTAACGAGCAAGTCAGCACTGTGAACACAAGATAGCTTCTGAAGATGATCAGTCCACACCACAGCAGTGAGAAGTATGTGCAAGTGTGCGCGCATGATCAGGTAACATCTGGAGATGCAGGAAACCATTCCTAAAGACCACAGAGGGACCAGAGTCTGGGATCCCACAAAACCTCAGGGAAGAATCCTTCCCCCTAACCTACCTTTGCGAATCTTCTCATCAGGTGAGACAGTGCTTCAGGGTTAGGGCATTCCAGCTTCTTAATAATCTCAAAGCTCTGGTTCAGCTGAGCAAAGACGTCAACCACGGAGCAGGAGAAGAGCGCGTGGTCAGACGTCTGCTGGAACTGTGGGCAGGAGGCAAAGCCACCATGATGGTTACACAGGGTGCGGGAAGTCCCAGCATCTCACACCACAGCCCAGCCCTCTGCACAGCCACATGCCCGCCTTTCCCACTCAAAGATGCTCGCTCACTTCCAGAGGGTTTCCCACCTTTTCTGGAAATCACGGTGGAACCGAGGCCACCGGAAGCCTCTGCCAACTGGTTTTTCCACTGCTGAGTGGAGGGATGGTTCTCCCCTCGTTCTCCTCCCTCCCTCCCCCGGGGACAGTGCAGACTCAGAGCTGCTTTGAGGGCCAGGTCTGGAGCTGTGGAGATCTTCCAGGACAACAGAGAGGTTTGTAGGAGCTCGGGGAACTCAAGGTCTCAGATTGATTCAAGAAGCAAAGCCTCTCAGGGCACAGGGGTGATTGATTTTTTTTTTTTTAAATTTAAGCAATTTCCTAAGGTTCTGACCTGCCCTTGAAGTTGTGTTAAGTTAATTTTGGCTGTCGGAGAACTGAACACAACGAGCCTGACAAATTCCCATTAGCTCGAAGGAGAGCCATGTGAGGACGTCAAGGCGACACAACCCTGAAGTGACTGCACTCACCCCGTCTTTCTTGTCTCTTCCCAGGGCTCCGTGGAGGAACTCCATGGAGACATCTTCATTCTCATCCAGCCACTGCATGACGAAGGGTTCAAACCACCTGGGAAAAATTAATGATGCTACTATCACAAAGGGCAATGTCGCTTTTTCTTCTTGTCTGAGAATAATTCTGGACCAAAAATCTGCTTTCATTCTCCATTCCCAGTTTTGCTTCCTCAGAGATCTTACAATTTGCTGCTTTTCTTCAATCTCTGTCTTTTTCTCTGCTCTTCCCATGTGATCTCAGACATGTGTGGCCCCCATGACCTGCTCAGCAATTCCCTCTCCCGCTAAGCTCCCGGGGAGTGCAGACTTGGGCTGCGTCTGCACCCTGCACCCTCACTCCTAAACTTCACTGCTGAGTGGCCACACACCACCTTCCTGCCATGAGCCTGCTGCCCTCTCACCTCTCAGCTCTGACTTACAGTCCCTCCTTTGTGAATGGGCTGAGAGGAGCTTCCCAGTTCCTTTGCCATGGGAACTGTGATCCAGCGCCATTTATTGGAAAGACCACCCATGCTGCCCCACTGTGGTGCATGGGTGTCCCGATGCGAATCAGGCCACGCTTGTGTGCCACTGTCTCTGAGCAAGCTTTTCCCACTGGTTCCCCTGCATTTACCCGCACCACACTCTTTCAATAACTTATCTTTTGGGAAGTCTTACTAATCAACACCACTCATCATTCTCCAGCTTTTAACTTCCTCTCCAACTTTGCCTGGACACTCTTAGACCTTTGCATTTTACAAGCATCTTTTAGTGAGCTTGTCAATTTGCACAAAAATAACTTGTAGAATTTTTATAGGATTGCATATTTTAATTCTGGAGAACTATTGTCTTTATAATAATTGATCTGTTTAGGAATATTATACATTTTATTTCGTTCATCTTAAATTTCAGTTGATATTGTTACAGTTACTTTTACAAATGGCTTCCACATCTTTGATCACATTTATTTCTGGCAGTTTTATTGCTATTTACATGTTATGGTTCATATGCAATTCTTTGTGTCTTTAGTATAGAAGTTTAATAAACTTTTATGCAGACTTACCACCTTTACTTTTAAAATTCTAATAATTTTCCTACAGTTTCTTTTGGATTTCATAGAGGCACAATTACGTCATATATAAATAAAATAGAAACATTATGTGTTCTTAAAATCATAATTTTCTTTTCTTTTTAGTGCTGCGGATTGAACCCAGAGCTCTGAGCAGTCTAGACCAGTGCTCTACAACTGTGGCTCCATCATCACACTTTCTATCATTTTCCTGTCTTATTGCATTGGCTGTGCTTTCTAGTACAATGTTACTGAAAGTGATGCATCAGACATGACTCATTTTTTATCTCAAAGGGAGACTTTTAAAATTTTGCCAATAAGTGTAATACTTCTTCAGAAGGTTTCTTGCTATTGATATTTTGAGAAAGAGTGTTTTATTACATTAAGATAATACCCTTCTATTTTGCACTAAGACATTTTTTAACAAATTGACATTTTATTTGACCAAACTATTATTCTGTGTTTAGTGAAATGATAATAGGGATTGTTCTTTATTATTCTTTAAACGTGGAAGATTTGTAACCATTTGTAACTAATGTAATATTCCAGGAATTAACTTAGTTGTGGTGATGTTATATTGGCCTTTTCCTAAATTACTGGTTTGTATTGGCTCAAATCTCACTGGAGGTTTTTAGAAAAACTAAACCCATGTCAGAGTTTGGATGAAAACCAAAGGCCTCATGCATTCATGCTTTGCAAGGTGAGTGACTCATAGCTGACCTGCTGTTAGGGGTGGGTGCGGTCAGAAGTGGCGGGTCACAAGGGCGTGACCTGGAAGGGTTCCTCTCCCTCTCAGCTCCCCTCTCTCCACTTCCTGGGTGCCATGGGGGGAGCAGCTCCCCTCCACCCAAACCACTCTGCAGAGCTGTTTGTTTCCATGTTTAAACCCCCAGAACATGGAGTGGAGCTTCTGGATTGTTATAAACCTCTCCTCCTTTAAGCTGCAGATGTCAGATATTTTGTCCCAGCAGTGAAAACAGTGACTGAGGCAACCCGTGACAGAAACTGTGCTGTGATTACCCTCAGTTGTCGCGTTCTCAATAGGGTTTAGTGGAGAGAATATGCCAGCTGGCCTTGAGAAATGGTTTCAGTTTTCATGTCTTCCCTGCAAAAACTTGTCATGCAGGTGATGTTTATTTCTTAAACATGGAAGAACTCCATTTGTAGCCAGGTGGGTCTGGAAATTTTATTTATAACATTCTTTTTTTTGGGGGGGGGGTTGTTCTCCGGTACCGGGAACCGAACTCACGACCTTGCGCTTGCTAGGCAGGCGCTTTGCTGCTGAGCTAAATCCCCAGCCCCAATATTTATAACATTCTTAATTAGGGATTCACTTTTAAAATAGCAATCAGCTTATTAAGATTTTATATTTTTCTTATGTCAATTTAATATGTTCTATTTCAAAAGGAGCTTGTATATTTTATATAATTTTCTAAATTCACGGGTATAAATATTTCCTTATATTTTTATTATTATTATAGGATCATTATTATGTCCTTTCCCAAGTTTGGTGATTTTGGGTATCCTCACCCCACACTGGCCTTGCTATGTTTTTCTTTTTATTAACCTTTAACAATGAAAAAAACCTTTTGATTTTTTTGTTCTCTACTTTATTTTTATTCCAGACCATACTGATTATTTTATCTCAGCTGCTTTCTTATACTTTAATTTGCTGTTTCCAGAGTTTCTTCTGGTACTTACATTATTGGCTTCCTTTTCCTCTTTCCTTTCAGATACATGAAATTAAAGCTATAAATTTCCCTCTGTTTTCTGTATTCCACAAATTGTGCCACTTTTTATTATTTCTTAATTCAAAATATTTTGGATGTTTAGTCAGGGGAAGTGGCCTATACTGCTGTACTTGTAATCCCAGCACTTTGGGAAGCTGAGGCAGGAGGGCCACAAGTTCAAATCTAGTCCAGGCAATTGAGTGACACTAAGACCCCCATCTCAAAGAAAACTTTTTAAGTAAAAGGGGCTAAGTATGTAGCTCAGTGTGAGGTCCTGGCTTCAATCCCCGGTACAAAAAGCTTTCTTTCTGTTTACTGTTTCTATATTTTTACCTAACATTCCTATGTCCTCCTGTCTTGGGTGAGTATCTTCCTTGAGCCCATTACATTTTAAGGGTTTTTTCCATCCTTTCTGGTTTTCAATAGCTTCTATAGTGTACCACTCGGTAACTTGCACTCATCCTGTTTCGGTTTTACAGAACTCTTGAGTCATGCCTTCACGGTGTGCAGCACTTTTGCCAAGCCTGGGTGTCCTTCCCCCTTACCCGTGCTCCGGCACAGCCCTGAGCTGCTTCCTGACGGGGGTGTGCTCTGAGAAGCACGTCAGCAGTTTCATCGCAATGAGAGCAGCCGAGGACACGTGCACAAACCGCGGTGCCGCAGCCCTGCTGTCCGGTGTGCAGTCTGGGGCCGCGGCATGACGCTGTGCGGGGCAAGACTGGCGGTTCCGCCTGCTCCTCTTCCAGTGCTTCGTTCTTTGCGCATTGGTCCTGCGCACGTGGTCCACACGTCGCTGTTGGTATTTCCCCTGTGTTTCTTATTTTCTGTTTCTCTCTGTTTCTCCACTCTCATTTCCTCCCAACCCCTGTTCCAGTTACTGTTGCCTTTGTGTCCATTAACCGCATCTATTTCATTCTTCATTTCATTTTGTTCCAGTTCTATAATTTCCATTTCAGTCTTCTTTTAGGCTCAGTTTTTCTGTGGATATTTTCCAGATTATTTTATTTATTTTTTGAGATAAACTCTCACTGTGTAATTTGGGCTGGCCTTGAGCTCACTATGTAGCCCAGGCTGGCCCCAAACTCACCATGATCCTCCTGCCTCAGCCTCCAGAGTGCTGTGATATAGGCGCGCCACCATGCCTGGCTCCAGCATTTTAAAGTATAAATCAAAGTCTAAATCAAATGGCTCTAGACATTTGTGTCCTGTTGCCTGATAGCCTTTCACTTTTCTGTAGGCAATTCTATGTTAACCATGAAAAATTGTGGGCCTACTCTTGATCATTTCCTCCAGAGAGGTTTTAAACTTTTCCTTGTAGATAGAACTCAGGAAAGCACCTCAATCTAGGCAAGGCTGGGCTTTAGGCTGGTCTGTTTCCAGCGTGGGTGGTCTGTTTCCGGCGTTCCCTCGTTTCTCCAGTAGGGCCCCGCAGGCCTGCGGTGTTTAAAATGATCCTCTCTTCTAACAAGACCTGCCTTCCGGTTCGCGTCTCTGTGACGCTGTGCTGCTGCTGAAGTCCACTTGGCTCTCCCTCTCTCCGTGCCTGCTTTCTGCTTCATGCTTTCTGCCCCGTCTCCACGCTCAGGCAGATCAGGAATCAGAAAGGCCTCCAGGGAAAGGCCTGTGGCGTGCCATGGCCTGTGTGTCCACCCCTCCTTCCCAGGACTGGGGTCCCACGAGCCCGAGCAGCCTTCGGGTCCCGCACACTGACATCGGCTCTCTCCAGCCCGGGGCTGCTGTGAGTGTGAGCGGGTGGTCACTGCTGGCCCCAGCCGCGTTTGGTTCTGCGAACCGGCGAAGCAGCTGGGGCGGGAGCCGGGGGCGAGGCAGCTGCGGGGACCCTGCGGCAGGCCCTTCTCGGGACCCTAACTACTCGCTCCTGGCCGCCTGGCCCGCTGTCTCGTGCTGTTTGATTATATTCAGCTTTTCTCGTTGGTCTGCAGCGCGCGTATTAGGAAGTCTAGACAGAGCCAGAGCAGGTGTCTGGCAGCGGCTCCCCGGTCTCCCCTCCCTACGCGGCGTCAGTGCGCTGCCAGCTGCACAGCTCACAGCCTGACTCTCCTCAGGCCAGGCTCCTGAGCATCTAGTGACGGTCTGTAAGCCCTGTCCTCGAAACTTCTCTCCCACCCACTTCTCCTCACTTGTATCTTCGCCTGCCTGGGTTATCGCGTGTGCCGGGTGGGCCTGGGCTCTCGCACACACTAGGCAGGCCCTCTGCCGCCGAGCTACGTTCCCAGCGCCTTTTCTCACGTGCTTTCAGCTGACAATCTTGTATATGCTTACTCTGCACAACACATTTTGAAATACGTCTGTGTTGTGCCATGGCTAAACTGGGTTACTATGTGTTACCTACTTAGGACTTTTGAAAATTTTTTTATTTTAAAGAGAATAAAAACAGAAAACATTAAAAGTGATACAGAATTTCAAAACAAGATGATAGGCAATCAGCAATGGTTGTTATATTGCATATTGTTATCGTCAAAGTAGTTGTTCAGATTACCAGATGGAAGCATACAAAATTGGTCAGAAAATTAAGAGATAAAAAATTAAGCATTAACTGTTTCTTTTAATAAACCAACAGATATTAATAGTATAATTATCTTAGCTGTCTTGTGTACATATATATTTATATTTTTTGCCTTCTTTCTTCCTTTCTCTTTTCCCTCATCCTGGTTGTTCTTTCCTTTTGAGCGGTTTTTTTCCTTTTCACAATATCTATTGCATTTTTCAGATTTTATTTACTCATTCAGGTTCTTACACTAGGGAGACTATGATGTTTACACATGCGAGTCTGGTTTATTTCACTTGTGAGTATGGTCTCTAGTTGCATCCGTTTACGGATAAAAGCCTCGAGTTTATCTTTCTTTATAGCTGAGTAATCCTCCATTGTATAAAAATACCACATCTTTTTTATCCATTCCTCAGTTGATGGGCGTCTGGGTTGTTTCCAGATTTAGCTATGACAAATGCGCTGCTGTAAACATGGGTGCACATCCATCGCTTACTTAGGACTTCTTGTGGTGAGAACGCATAGCCTGGATTCTTAGCAATTTCTTTTACTCACTATGGTTACTCTGTTGTCTGGGTCTCTTGAATTTACTCCCCCTGTGTAATGAACGTCTCATATCCTTCGGCCTTTAACCCCCTCCCTTTGCAGTTTAGCGTTTATCTCATCCCCTGTCCTTTTCCACCCTGGGCACATCCACCAGGAAAGCTGGAAGAGGCTGTTGGGGTCACCATGACTTTGCTCAAGACTGTCTAGGCCACTGACCCCCTTCTGTGTCTCTCCTCGCCCACAGTGCCCCATAAACGCAGGGGAAGCTTCACAGCATCTGTTCAAAGTAATCCAGTCCAGAACTGTTTTTTCTATATCACTATTGGTTTTGCAAAAACACCTTAGACTCTACTAGACAAACACTATTTTCTATGGGTCACAGCCTGCATATTCCGAATTACTTTTCAGCATTATACTCAGACCTTTCATTTCCATCTTACTTTTCTCCTTTTCTCTCTCTTGCCATAAGCTGAGCAGTTTTTTGAAGTTAAATGCTATACCATCTGGAAGTACTGCATGGAGTCCTCGGAGGTGATGTCTCTCTTCCGTACTGATACCCTACGTACTGTGCTGTGTTTATGTACCTGAAGTTCCTACTTGTATTTCTTTGCCGTGCTGACCTTTGTCCTTATCAACTTCTGAGTCCAACCCCTTCTCAGAGGGAGGTCTTGGTCTTGGCCAAGATGGAGGTCTAGGTCACCCTTCAGCAGGGGGGACACACAGAGAGCACACAACGCCACGGGGAGGACTGTGATTACAGATGTGTTCAGTACAGGGTGAGCTTACAAAGGGAAATGTCCCTGGTTAAATAATGATTTCTATTTCAGAAAAATGAATTCCTAAGACAGTGAGAGGTTCAAATTAAAGGGCCAGTCTGATTGTACAGACCAATATACAAATTCCCTCATCCAAACAAGCCAGCTGTATCCCAGCACTTTTACGGGAAGCAATCTCCTCATGTGAACCGTGCCCTCCTGTGTTCCCTCTGTGTGGGTTGAATACCCAAGTAAGCCACACTTGAAAAGTGCAACACAGTTAACCACGGCTCCCAAGGAGGTGCTGCCTGCCGCACTGAGGTTTGGGATGGAAACGCCTGCTTGCAAGTGACCCTGTGTGAGGAGATGCGAGTGCCGCACAAGGCAGCTGTAATTTCATAAAACTGAGGAGGAACAGGGCATACAGATCACGACTCACAGGGAGTACTCGGGAACGGCACCCTTGAAGGCAGGAAGCTCGCGCACGTACTCGTTATAAAACCACTTCACTTTGAAATGCAGATTCATGTAATCAGTGCTCTTGCATAACCGCTGCTTCTCATGCTCTGTAACAGATAAAATCAAACAATTAATAGAGTCTGGTTTGCCAACAATGCCGCCGGATTCCAATCTACTTCCCTCATTAGTATTTCTGAAAAGGAGAAGGTGGAGGGGAGGTAAAGCAAAGAGAACTGCACGACAGACCTGAAATCCCACAGAACGCAAAAGCTGCCCTCGACCTCACATGGCAGGGTGTGGGCAGCAGCCCCGGAAGTGACCGAATGCCTTACTGTCTTCCTGAGCAGCCGAGCACTTTGGTGCGGCTGAAGGGTGACACACTGAAATTTTCCTGTTTGTCAGCAAGCCCAGGCTGTCCTCACGCCGCCCACTTTTAGCCTGATGCGGAGTGGAAGAATTAAGCCTTTCAGCACGGATAAAGCGATTCACACTAGGAGCCACAAACACCAACTGATACAGGGAGAGCAGCGGTGGGTCACTTTGTAGCCCGAGGAGTTAACGCTTAAAGAGTGAAGAGACCCGAAAAGAGAGAAGAACTACCCCGCTCCTAAGCCGTATCATTTTTCCTTACCTTTTAAATTCAGCTGAAATTATTTTGCACCCTGTAACTTTGCTGATATTTCTTTAGAAGGATTTTCTAATATGTGGAATTGTTTCCTCTTATATCAAAAGTGTACTTGAAACTGGTTTGTGACCTGGACGTGCGGGATGCGGAGGAGAGCTGTACGGATGTCACTGCACACGCTTACCTCTGCTCCCCACTAGTAGCCTGGCCAATTCTGGCCACAACTGCAAATACAACCAAACCCAACCTTCCTGGCTGTATTCAGGGTGACGGCACCCGCACAGAAGCCCTGGCAGGGTCTTCAAGCTAAGGCCTTGAGTTATGGCAGAAACATCCCAGGCTTTACGTTCTGGCTAACTTCTACCAATGCTAATTGAACCAATTAGACTGTTCTAAAAACTCGAGGCTGTGCAATTTGTCATAGCTAAAACTTGGAAACTACCCAAATGCCCATCAACCGAGGAATGGATAAAAAAGATGTGGTATTTTTATATAAAGGAGCATTACTCAGCTATAAAGAAAGATAAATTCGAAGCTTTTGTAGATAAATGGATGCAACTAGAGACCATACTCATAAATGAAATAAATCAGACTCACATATGTCAATATTGCATTGTCTCCCTAGTGTAACAAACTAAAAGAGTAAATAAAACCTGAGATGTACAATAGATATTGTGAAAGGGAAAGAAACTGCTCAAAAGGAAAGAACAACTGAGATGAGGGAAAGGAGACAAGAAAGAAAGAAGGGAAAATATATATATACACACACAAGATAGCTGAGATAACTGTACTACTAATTTCTATTGGTTTATTGAAAGGAACAGTTAATGTTTAATTGTTTGAGCAGTCTTACATGCCTATATCTGGTTGTCTGAGTAACCACTTTGAAGATAACAATATGTAATATAACAACCATTGTTAATTTCCTATCACCTTGTTTTGCAGTTCTGTATTGTTTTTATGTTACTTTGCTAATGTCTTTGTTTTTGTTCTTTTCTCTTTAAAAAAAAAAGACAAACAGGCTGTTCTTGCTTTCCAACACGCAACTGTAGAGGGATTTAGGTCCCAGTTGTACACAAAGGAGAGAATACCCCAAATTAAACGTCTTCAAATTACTTATCTGAACAGCAATTAACTCAAAGCAATTTGTTGCGGGTGAGGGGGAGGAACAGAACCACGGACTTACACAGAAGCAAAAGCAATGAACTTAGTACTTCCTGGTCAAGAGGACCCAGCATTATGAGGAAGGTGCTTCGCCTCAGCTACCCCCAAATTAATTTCAGTCTTTGTCAAGGTGGACGGCGGCCCCGCGCTCCGCGCCCTGCAAAGACTGCAAGCCCCTCAGTCCTCAGGAGGAAATACTTGATTCAGCATCTGTAGGCGGGGACTACAGCAGGCAGGTGAGGGGACAGCCCGGCCCGAGGACCCTCACAGGCAGGGAGCTCAGCTCAGCACACCCAGTCCTGTCTCGCGGGACACCACACTGCTGCTGGGCCAGAGCTGGACGGCCACCATGCTCCCTACCCGCATCACACAGACTTGCTGAGTTCACGCTGGGGAAGGCACACAGCTCCCCGTGGGGGACAGCACGGAAGTAATCTGCGAGGGCTCCACGGGGAGCTGAGCCCCTTCCCAGTCCCCAACAGCCTTGCTCACACCCGCAGGCTCTCACTTATACTCCGGGTGCCTCTCGAGTGAACAGTTGCTGTTAAAGTCCACGCGTGTTTTTTCATGCATTCCCACATTTCTCCCATACTGTGTAATCATATATAGGACATATTTCAAATACAGGGTAATTACATCCAATGCACTCCCAAATCTTAGTCTAAGAGATTATAATATCAAACTCATAATATACTTGAAACTACTTTGACTTTCACTCAAACTGTGTCTGCTTAATGGTAGACCATGCTGACAAAATTGTATTAAACTCATAAGATATGAATGACTCTTAGAATTTATGTAGCTATCAATACTCTAAATTTTTAATGTTGGCAACATAGATTTAAGTAGCTTGTTACATTTACAAAATGAAACATTTAATTAGTTTTCTAAACTGTAGTATAATAATTCTGTACAAAATTTAGCCTGAATTTTAGTGAAAAATATGCATATTTTACGAGCATAATAAAAAATTACTTTCTTAAATTTATACAAGGAAAAAGCCTGGCAATTTGGAAGAATGCGGTTGTTTTTCTGTTAGATGGTGTCTGTTAGCTTTTCCTTGGAAAGAATGTGTTTTTTCAAGAACATTCTATCGATGTGTGGGGTCTCAGGGATGGTGTAGAGATGTACATTATGCATTGGCTTGCATAATAAGGATGTAGTACGTTCAACCCACTCTCAGGCCAATGGCGGCTGTGTGGACTCTAACATGCGTCACTCCTCTGTTCTTTAATCTGTGACACTGTCGTAGCACGGGGACCCTGTTTTATCCTGAAGTTCACGGCCTACAGTGCTTCTAGTCATACCCCAGCATCCCTCTGGGTGTGGGCAGCAGGCTCCACCTCTAGCAGGCTGTGACACAGAAGGACTGCCAGGCTCATCAAGGACAAAGCAGGGGTGAGGGCCCCGTGAGCAGTGTGCGTAGGTCTCGTGTGCCTGTGAACACACAGCGTTGCTACCCAGAGACCCGAGTCCTAAAGTAAGAGTGAACAGATTATTGCACACACACACAAACACACACATACCCATCAGAGGTCCTATGCATTCATATCAATAATATACAGATTCGGGATCCCTTCCAGGCATTGAGAACGCTAAGTCATGCAGCTACAGGAAATAAGGTAGATTAGGAGTCATCCTTTCCATTTAAATAACCTGTACAAAATTGCATGATAGCAGGATGACTGTGAAGGTTAGACAGCACCTACAATTCCAGCTGCCAAAAGTAAGGCACGCTATGAACAAGACATAAAGCTTGGAGAAACAATACAAAAAATGTGCAAAATGGCTACACATACTATGATAGGAAAAATTAACTTGGACTCGAATCTTTCATAAATAAAAATAAGCAAAGAAGTTTTAATTATAATAGTAACATAATCAAATTTCATAAGAATTTGTGTAGCATAAGAAAGATATAAAAATTTCTTTCACGACATATTTGTGTGTCTGGAAAAATCTTGGGAAAAAAACCAGAAAAAGAAAAGAATAAAGAAAGAAACTGGCATACGAGGTGCCAGGGGCCGAGGCAGGAAGTAGCTCTCCCTGCAGAGGACTGTGGGGTCCTCCTTGTGGCACCCCAGCCCCTGCAGAGGCCTGGACCCCGCCAGCTCTGGGGTTCATGCTGGGGGAAGGCGCTGCCAGACCTGCATCACAGATCCACACGCCGGAGCCCTGCGGAGGGCCCTGCAGCGGTGGCCCACGGAGAACACCTGTGGCCACTGGCCTTGTGAGCGAGCAGCAGGGAGGGCACCGTCCACAGCCTGCTGCTGGGAAACAGAGGCGGATACCTACACGGGAGGAGCGGGACGGGAGGGAGGAGTCCACTGGAGGAGGCTGGCCAGGCTGGGGCAGGGTGGGGGTGGTCAGGTCCCCAGGAATCCAGAGCCACCAGCGAGTCGCGAGCCAGGGCGGGCATGAAGAAGGGATCAAAAGTCAGCTTCACGCCCTTTGTGCTTTTACCTGGAATCCCAGCCACGCGTGTGATACACGGCATTTCCGTGCAGTGGAACCGGGACTGAGATGTGGGTTTTGTTCATCCACGCGGCACATATTTGCTGACGATCTGCTGCCAACGTGGTGCTGTTCCCTCCACGGAGCACACAGCGGAGGAAAACAGCTTGTGGTGTCCTCGCGAGGAGACGCAGGACCCCGAGACCACTTACTGCGACTCTGGAGGGTGGGAAGAGCAGGCAGGGGCTCCTCGCCAGGGCATGGGGTCGGGCCCCCCAGTGAGCCCCGGCGGGCACGCCCTGGAGCCAGCCCTGGAGGAGCCTGCAGTGTAGACGCGGGCAGCCCTCCGCAAGAGCGCTGGACAAGCCGCGGGACAGCGGAAGGCCGGCGAGACAGAGACGGAGACCCAGAGGGCCGAGGGCTGATTCAGAGAGGAGCAGGGCCGAGGCCCCCACGGCTTGCAGCCCATGGTGGAGACATCACCGACACAGCCTGGACACAGGCGTGTGCCGGGGTCTGCCTCGCATCTGTAGCTCACCCCTGGAGAGAAAAGAGAGCCCAGGCCTTGCTAAGCAGATGCCGGAGGGGGACGGCGCTCAAGCGGAGCAGCCCACAGGACTGTGGGTCAGGGCTCCCCAAGGGAAGGGCCGCTCTGCAGCTCCAACACGCAGCTTTCCGCCACAGTCAGAGGCCCTGCTCAGGCCAGTCCATTGTTATTAAGAACTGCCAAAAAATACAAATATAACTTCTCCCACACTGCTCAGCTCATAGAGCCGCTCATAAACCGTCAGCTTCAGGTATTTCTCATAAGTTTGAGATGTTTTTGCTGCAAAATCACTGCTCACAGATTTTTGTTCAAATACT